CCGACCGTGCGCCCCCCACTGGGGGCCGAGCCCGCCGCCCGAGCCTGTGCCAGACAGGGAATCAGTCATGACTTCCGGGTTCATAGGTTGACGCTCAACCACGGAGCCCGCCGGCCGGGCTAGAATGTACCCTCTGAACCGATCCTCACAATTGCAGTGAAACTCAGCATCGAACTCCCCTCCTTAGCCACCTTCAGCCACAGCTCCGTGGTGCTAATCGAGTGTGTTCACTCGGTTGTAAACAGACCGAGCGTGTTCATCTTCCCAAACTGAAACTCACACCCATAACTCCCCCGCTCCCCCCCGCGGCCGTCCTGCCCCCCCACCCCGCAGCCAGCATTCTCTCCGTCGGCTTTGCCTACGCCCGGTGCTTCGTTGCCGTGCAGTCCACACAGCGCTAGTCTTGTCACCGGCTTCCTTGACATAGCTGCTGCCCTCACGGGTCACCCTGTGGAAGCCAGGCCGGCGTCGGGCTGCGCCGTGTTCACCGCTGACGGCTTCCACCTCAGGGCTGTGTGGTTTTGAGTCTGGGGCATGTGCTCAGGCAGAATTGGGTCGTTCTGTTTTAAACTTTTTGAGGAACTGCCATACTGTTGGCTCCCTTGTCAAAAGTTTGAATGTGTGCGTGTGCGTGTGTGCGTGTGCGTGTGTGTGTGTGTGTGTGTGTGTGTGTGGTTTTCTTCTGGGCTCCCTGCTGTAGTCCGTGCTCTGCATCTATCTCTGTGTCAGGATCACACAGTCCGATGGTTGTAGCTCTGCAATACACTGAAATCAGAAAGTGAGATCTCCAGCTTTGTTCTATTTCAAGATTTTTTTTGGCGACTTGGTGTCCCTTGAGATTCCATGTGAATCTTGGGGTAGATTTTTCTAGAACTCGCAGGGCTCCAGCGGTGGGGAAAGAGGCCTCCTCGCCCTGTCTCTGCTCTCGGAGGAAAAGCTTGTCTCGGGTCACACAGCGCCCTCGCGCTTAGCACCCTCGGTGCCTCTGAGAAAAGCAAACCCGCCCTCCAGGCGGGGCACCTGCTGAGCCCTGCCCGGCCTCTGGGCTCAGTCCTCAGGCCACATTCTGGGGAGGCCTCCTGGGCCCCGGCCCTCACCAGCAGCCCGCGCCGCCCGCAGGAGAAGATGCTGGACATCTACTGGCTGCTGCGCGTCTGCCTGCGGACCATCGAGCACGCGGACCGCACGGGCCCGCTCTTCGCCTTCATGCCCGAGTTCTACCTGAGCGTGGCCATCAACAGCTACAGCGCCCTCAAGAACTACTTCGGGCCGGTGCACAGCATGGAGGAGCTCCCCGGTGAGGGCCGTGCGGGCGGCGAAGCCTCGGAGCCGGGGCGGAGCCGGGCCCTGGTCTG